CTCTCTCTCTCTCTCTCTCTCTCTCTCAAGTGGCTTCCTTTCCCTTTCCTGTTTAGGAAGGACTGTTTCCCCCTACTATGGCTGTATTTGTACAAAGTTCTAACCCTCCTTCCCTGTTATCTGAACCAGGAGTTTCCATGGGGACACTCCCATCCTTCTTTACTGGACCTGCTGGGCACAGGGACAGGCACCAGGCCCTGCTGGCACTCTACCTGCATACACTCGTTTTTCCCCATGACTCCTGCCAGTTGGAGATAGCACTTGACTTGCTGTCGAATCTTCTGGAAGCAATCCACAATAGGAACAGTTGGAATAGTATGAATACGGCTTAATATATCCAGAGCTACATTGACCAGTCCTTGTTTTCGGGCAATTTTTCCATACTGGATGATTGCTGAAGCTGACGCATGAACCCCAAGCATAGCATTATTGGAACTTGGATCATGCTGAGAACTATTTTCATACGCAGTTACAATAGCTAGAGAACAAAGAAATGAATTATTAGTCCATGCCAAATATTTTCAAAGTTCCCCAAAATAAGGCTTAAATCAAAAATGAAAACAAACACACATGGCTTATGAAGATGGGGAACTCCGTAATAAACTCATTACTTTTCCTCATATTTTATATCAAAAGGGAGATATAAAAAGCGCTAACTGTTGAATTGAGTGTGACCATCTTGGCTAACTCAATCACAAAGGCTGCCCTAAACAAGCAGATGCCTGGCAGGTTTAGGGTATGAGCAGAGGAGACCAGAGAACTGGAGAAGGCTACACATACACGGCCACCTGAGAGCAGCTTGGGGGAGATGGGGGGCCAAAACAAACAGCCACAACCCAGAGCTCCAATCACACTGGCCTGAGCCCCTGATACAACAAGCAGCACTTCTGTTTTAACTGGAAAAAATTTAACAGGTAGGAAAACTCCTTCCCATCCTTTGCCACCTTCATCTTTGTCTCACCATACCCCACCACTACCTCCCACACCCACCCCAAATCAGAAAACCTGATAAAAGAAATAAAACAAAGCAAAACCAAGACATGAAACCAGAACAGTGGGATGTCTGGAAAATTACATGATGAATGCATGCCGGACCAGGTAGGTTTACCCTGGTAATGATGCTGCCGCCACATGAAGACGCTGCTCCAGTGGGACAAGTCGTCAGAGACAATGGGCAGCCTGTTCCTCCAGGTCTTCACCACGGTCTTCATGTCATGCAGGCTGTTGTTCCTTCCCAGGTTGGTCGGCTGTAAACCTGCATTTATTTGTGCAGCTTCCTGAAGTTCAATGATTTGCTGGGCGGCCTGAATGGGACCAACATAAGAGATTCCACAGTAAGCATTATATCAAAGATCACACGAGAAAATAAACCAGAGTCAATCAGGAATCTGCTTTGCTGTAAAGATCTCACAATTCCATCATGAAAGAAAGCACTCTCACTTCACAGATACCTTAGCTTTCACATTAACCCACTCTTCACCTCCAGCACGGCTCTCCTAATCCCCCCAATCTTAAAACCTCAGCTCTGTGGCCTGTGAGATAGGAGATGGGAGAGGAATGGTGTAGATGACAAAACTTGCTAAGGGGTAGCCCCCAAAACGATTCTCTCTTTTCCAACAAGAGTTGGCTCTTTCTCTACCAATGTCTAAGAAGAGAGAAAATTTAAAACCCCACAGCCATATTAAGAATTTCAAAACATGGTTCTGATGATCTCTTTAGGCTGGTATAGATATTTTCAACCACATCCCTTGTGAGTCTGTATAGTTTACTACTCAGATGCATTGCTGGCTCCAAACTTCTGGTGCCATCTTCTTACCAGGAGGGCCCTGGGCTAAATTTTGATCCTATCCAAATTCTACCCATTAAGTTCTACCTTCCCCTCCCACAGGGATTTCTCCTACCTGCATGGCAGTGAATCATAGTCTCCCTATAATCACTTAAAATTTTGTTTCTTATGGATATGTCATCTCCCTCCACTTGGATCCTCCTTTGAGGTAGAATCTATGTTTTAAATTTTTCTGAATCTTCCCAAACATAGCACCTAGGTCAGTACTCAGTATCTCATTGTGTGGTCTTGATTTTAAAAACTGCCTACAGAGCCGTGGCCAGTGTGGCTTAGTTGGTTGGGAGTCATCCCATGCACCAAAAGATTGTTGGTTCCATTCCCAGTCAGGGCACATGCCTGGGTTTTGAGTTCAGTCCCCGGTAGGGGGCATGCAGAAAGCAGGCGATCGATGTTTCTCTCTCCCCCCTCCCCTTCCTCTCTCTCTAAAGGTCAATAAAAAGTTTTTTGTTTTTTTTTAATTGCCTACAAGAATTATCTATATTGCAGGTCTAGTTCATTCCATGTAGATTTCTAAAATCTTTATCTAATCCTCCCTCCCACCAAAAGCATACTGAAAATAGAACAATGGGATATTTGTTTTATAATAGCTTTACTGAGATATAACTGAAACAACAAAATTACCTCTTAAAGTGTACAATTCAGTAGTTCTTAGTATATTCCTAGAGTTATACAGCCATTACTACTAATTATAGAACCTTTACATCATTTCCAAAAGAAGCCTTATACCCATTGGTAGCCACCCTCCACTCTTCTTCTCCCAGAAGGTGACAACCACTAATCTGCTTTCTGTCTCTATGGATCTGTCTATTCCAGACATTTTATATAAATGGAATCATACAATATGTGACCTTGTGTCTGGCTTCTTCACTCAGCATATATTCAAGGTTTACCTAAACTGCAATATGTTATCAGTATTTCATTTCCTTTTTATTGCTGAATAAGGCTCCTTTCATGGATATACCACATTTTATTCATTTATCAGTTTATGGTAATTTGGGCTGTTTCCACATTTGGGCTATTATGAATATTTACTACTCTGAATAAGTTTTTGTGTGGCCATATGTTTTAACTTCTCTTAGAGTTATACCTAGGAGTGAAACTGCTAAAATCATATGGTAATTCCATACTTAATATTTTGAGGAATTATCAGACTCTTTCCAAAGAGGCAGAACTATTTTACATTCCCACCAGCAATGTATGAGGGTTCCATTCCCTCTACCTCCCCACCAACACTTGTTATTGTCTTTTTTATTCTAGCTATGCTAGTGGGTGTGAAGGGGTATCTCATTGTGGTTTTGATTTGCATTTCCCTAATGACTAGTGATGTAGAGCATCTTTTCACGTGCTTATAGGTCATTCATATATCTTCTTTAGAGAAATGTTTATTCAAATCTTTGCCCATTTTTAAATTGGGTTGTCTTCTTTGTTGACTTACAAAAGTTCCTTATCCATTCTGGATAAAAGTACTTTATCAGATTTGCAAATATGTTCTCCCATTCTGTAGGCTTTTTGCTTTCTTGATGTTGTTCTTTGAAATACAAAAGTTAAATTTATTCCTCAGTATTTTAATCTTTTTTATCCTATTGTAAATGAATGGGTTCCTTAATTTCACCAAATTTGGGCAGTTTTCAGCCTTTATTTCTTCAAATATTCCTTCTGCCCCCTTTTCTCACCCTACTCCTTCAGGGACTCCCATTATGAGTATGTGGGTATGCCTGATGGTACGCCTGTCTCTCACAGGTCTCTGAGGCTCTGTTTATTGTTCTTCATTATTTTTCTTTTTATTCCTCAGGCTGGACAATATCAATTAATGTATCTTCAAGTACACTGACTTTTTCTTGTACCTGATAAAATCTGCTATTGAGCTTCTCTAGTGAATTTTTATTTCATTATACTTCTACTAAACTCTATTCATCGATATCCTCTCCTTGATGAGACATCATTCTCGTATTTTCCTTTTATTTTTTACATATGGTTTCCTTTAGTTTTTTTATCACGTTTACCATAGCTGATTTAAAGTTTATACGTCCAACAACTGGGCTTCCCTCAGGGACAGTTCCCATTGACTACTTTTTCCCTCCTTTATATGAACCATTATTTTCCTATTTATTTTCATGTCTCGTAATTATTTGTTGAAAACTGAACATTTCGAATATTATAATGTGGTAACTCTGGATATGAGATCCCTCCTCTCTACGGGTTTGTAAAGGGTTTTTCTTTTTTTTGGTTGTTGCTATTTGTTTAGTGACTTTCTTGGACTAATTCTATAAAGTCTATATTATTTGTATAATGCAACCACTCAAGTCTCTGCTCAGTTAGCTTATGGTCAGCTAATGATTAGACAGAAATTTACTTAAAGACCTGAAACAATAAGACTCCCAGCAGAAGCCTCTACAGAGGGGCTGTGTGTGCCTGTTGTGTCATGCCTTCCACACTCCACCAGGCATTTTTCAATTCTACCATAGCCTTCACTCCCTGATTGTACAGTGCCTCAAGGTCAGCCAGTGGTGAAAGTTAGGGTCTTCTCAATTTTCCTGAGCATGTGCACAAAATCTATGAGCCCCTCTAGATTTCCAGAAATACATTAGAGCTTTTCATAATCCTCTATGGAGGATTAGGGAATCCTTTATTTCCTAATCTTCCCTGTACTTAGCCAGTTTCTTCTGTGCCCCAGCTGGTATTGCTCCATCAGGCAGCTGTGATGTTAAACAATTGCCATTGATTGTTTTTGACAGAAGCCTCCACATATGCCTTTCCTTACTGAGTGGGCTCTGAGTCCGGTCAAACAGAGACAAACCCTGTGAACAGAGTTTTTCAAGGGAACTGCAATGCTGGTCAAATAGTGCCAGTTCTCTGGGGCCAAGTGTTTCTTTGTGGGGTTTTGTTTTTTTTGGGTTTTTTGTGTCTCTAAATCTGTTCTACCTTCCATTGGTGGCTACTAGGCTACTGGTTTTCACAGCTCCTATGGTTGGAAGTATTGGTTTTCAATACTATGGTGGAAATGGGGAAAGAAAGAAAGGTAATATGACTATTAAATGCTACAAAGTTTGCTATTCTTACTAAAATACAGTTGTCTTTCTTAAATGCTCTTTGGATTGTTGCAAGTCTGTGTTTAATTTCCATAATCCTGAAAACTGCTTTTGACAATATTCCCCACTCTAGTTGTTGCTTCCATGAAAAGGAGCTTCAGAAACCCTTATTCTGTTATTCTGGATGATCTGCCTGAACAATATATTAAAGTCATTCTGTCTAAAACAAGACTCAGGCTCTGTGTTTCTTCTACATTAGTGGTTAACCCAGGAATCCAGTATTGGTGTTTTCGGTATGCCAAAGAGATAGACTGATCATCTAAATTCTCTATTAAAACCTGGGGTCTAAAATCAGTAAGATGGGAATGTTACTGTACAGAAGTACCAAGACTTTTCCCTTCACTAATTTTCTTTTTTGGTGGTAGTTAGAGGAGGAAGGGAAAGAGGCACTAGTCGTAGTTCTAAATATGTATTTTTTAATTTAATATAATAAATATTTTTAAAATTAGGCATTAACATTTATTAAGTTTGGACAAAAGGTACTTATTTGATTTTTTAAAAATAAGCACTTCTTGCCCTGGCCAGTGTGGCTCAATTGGTTGGAGCATTGTCCCACGCACCAGAAGGTCATGGGTTCGATTCCCAGTCAGGGCACATACCTAGGTTGCAGGTTTGATC